TACCTTGAAAAGCTCTATAAATAAACTGCATTATTAGAAATGTATTAACATTTTTATGTTTTGTTTTTCTCATCATTTCCAAATCATACTATTCCCATAGCTATGCTTGGGTGGGCCAAAATTGTTAAAAGAATCGTTTACCTATAATTTATTATTTACTCATTCTTGTCTCAATCCAAAATTATATGCTATTACTGTTATTTTTTCCATGGAACATAACAAATAAATTTTTGAAGATATCAGGCATTTCGTTTAGATACACTTGACTGCTTCAGATCTTGCAATCTCACAATTTAGGAATCATCTTAGGCCAGTTGCATAAACACAACTATTACAGAATAATCTAGCTTTTTAGCTTTATTTTTTATTTCAGTTTCAGTATATAAGAGAAAATCTTTTTGTATTTTATATTTTATATTTTATTTTATTTTAACTTTATTTCAATTCATAAAAATGATTTTCAGTAGTTTTAGTATACAATAACACTGATCTAAGCATTCAAGAGACCCCAGTTTATGCCCTCGTCTGTGTTAATTTTTCACAAAAAAGCATCAGTCATCAATTTTTACTGACGTGCAGTGGCAACAGAGTGATTAATGTCATGCTGACATTCTTCTAACAGCTCTGTGCCAGAGCCAAGTGGGACATGCCAGGACACCGCTCAGTTATGGATCTAGCTGTCAGGTTTTGATAGAATCTAAGCTGCTTTAATAACAGAAGAGCTTTAATTTGAATCCATCGTTTTATCAGCAAAGCTTTCAAATTTAGGGCAATGTGACATATTAATGAAAAATGTACCAAAACCGCCCATTTGAGGTTTGAAGACTAGAGCAAAAGTTTGCAAGTCTCCTCTCGATGTGACTGACAGAAAGGCCCTCAAACTGCAAGAGATTTTGCTCAGATTGTTGCATCTGTTATTGTCCCATGAGCCCACAGGCTGTAATAGCTTTTGTGTCTGCTCTTCTAGTCTCGCTGGGTTCGGTTTTATTAGTTCCTGCCAGGGTCTGGCCCACTTTGCTTTGCTGTCTGTGTTCAAACAAAGTTATTATCTAATGAAGGCTACTATGGGACAGAAAGACCCTTGTTTTTTGTCAATTTGTCAGACAGTTTGGTAGGAACCCCCCCCCCAAACAGTCGCACATTATGTAAAATGGGTATAATTTTTCACGGTCCAAAGATGAACGAGCACAATTAGCCACATGCCTGCCTTGACACAAAAAACAAATCGCCGCGAGTCCTACAGAGCACTAAATGTGACCAGAGGCTCAACCATCAGTAACACTCCGATCATTAGCAACAGGGGTGTGTAAAACTACATACTAGACCTAGAGACTTAAGATATTTATCACATTGATACGCCTTTATCATAGTCCTTACAAAAAACGATTAGGCCTATGCTTAATAACAGGAGCAATGTTCACAGCAGGCATTCACAGCATTTGAAGTCAATAATTGACAATAATTTTCTCTAATTTTTTGTCAAAGGTGGTGGATTTTTTTTAGAAAGGCGATTCTTTGATGGTTGTAGTCGTTTTATTTTAAAGGGGGATGAATTTAAAGAAAGTTTTAATTGTTTTACTATGCAGGCAGCCTAACGGCTACTATCAGAGTAGTTGTCAAACTAAAATATAGCATGCTAAAAGTGCAGGGGAAAATGTATCTAAATCCATCCATGTTAAACCACTGCTTAAAGAAAAAGTAAAGCTAAAAAAATAAAACTATTTAACTTCACTAATCAATCACTCAACTAATCAATCCTTAGCAGGGTTTAGCTAATTAGCATCAGCAGTCAGCCTGTGCTGGGAGATGCCATACTGTAACTACACCATTATGGGGACATAAAAACTCATCTTACTCCACTGACTATAAGTTCCTTTACTAGCTGCTAATAAACTTACCTTGACACTAAATATTGCTAAGATTAATAGTAGGTACTATTATGGGTACATAATGGTTATATGTACACCAAAGTGCATTTTATTTTATTTTACTCTAAACTAAATGGCACAAAAACTCACAACAAAAGTTTTGTTGTCTTCAATAACAATAGAAAATGTAAAAGTATGGTATTTGGGGTAAAAAGTGCCTCTACTGCAGGGGCTAAAGGCACAATAATTTATGTGATTATAAATAGCTGACTGATGTTTCCATTTGTTTGTCACCCAAAAATTACTCACCCTCAAGCCATCCTAGGTGTATATAACTTTCTGGTAGGGCTGTGCAATTAATCGAATGCGATTATCATGCACATCTCGTCAGTAAAGCCGGTTCTGTGATCAGTGGTAAATCTCCAGCACGTGCTTTCAGATGGAGCGGCATTTACTACACAGAGCAATAGTTCACTGACTATATTGCGTTCATTATCGCAGGCAAATCATCTATGATTATGAACGCGATATTGCGTAGCTTGTCAGTGCTGCTCCATCTGAAAGCACATGATGGAGATTTACTACTAATCACAGAACTGGCTTTACTGACGAGATGCGCATGACTTATCGCATTCGATTAATTGCACATCCCTACTTTCTGGTCACACTTTATTTTAAGGTCTAAGTCTCACTATTAGCAAACCATTAGCTATGACTTTTGCTTCAATAAACTGCTAATTTGCTGCTTATTAATAGTTAGTAAGGTCGTTGTTAAGTTTAGGTATTGGGTAGGATTAGGGATGTAGAATATGGTAATGCAGAATATGTGCTTTATTAGTAATAAACAGCCAATATGTTATTAATAGGCATGCTAATAAGCAACTAGTTAACAGTGAGAATGGGTCTCTATACTAAAGTGTTGCCAACTTTCTTCTTTCAGATGAATACAACTGGAGTTATTTTAAAAAATATCCCGGCTCTTCCAAGCTTTATAATAGCAATGACTGTTGATATTCAATAGTCCAATAAAGTGCATCCATCCATCATAAAAAGTACATGGCTCCGGAGGGTTAATTAAGGCCTCCTGAAGTGAATCGATGTGTTTTGTATGAAAAATATCCATATTTAAAATTTTCTAAACCATAATCTCTAACTTCCACTAACTGTCGTACGCTCGTTCACGAGAGAGACGTTCCAGCAGATGATGTAGGATGTAGGCGTAAGCACCAGTGAGAATATGCTAGTCTTGCGAGAACCAAAGGAAGACCAGTCTCCTCTTGGTTTTTATCAAAATCCTCGTCTAATTCGTGACTGGTGTTTTGTTTTGCTCTCTCTCTGTGCTTCCGTGTACATCACTTCTCAGAGTTTACGCTACGGCTATGCTATGTCCTACATCATCTGCTGGAACGTCTCTCTTGTGAAAGAGCGTACGACAGTTAGCAAAGTTAGAGATTACAGTGTATAAAGTTTTAAATATGGATATTTTTCTTACAAAAATACATCGATTTGCTTCAGGAGGCATTTATTAACCCCCCGGAGCCGTGTGGAACACTTTAATGATGGATGGATGCACTTTATTGTACTTCTATTGGACTATTGAATATCAACAGCCATTCACTGCCATTATAAAGCTTGGAAGAGCCAGGATATTTAACTCCGATTGTTCGCGTCTGAAAGAAGAAAGTCATATACACAAAGGATGGCTTGAGGGTCAGTAAATCATGGGGTAATTTTCATTTTTTGGTGAACTATCCCTTTAAGCTGTTTATCCATCTTATAGATAATCACCATGTATAGAAGGTAACCATTATAGTTAAAAACATTACATTATTCATAAAAATATTTTTATTGTTATTACTGTAAACCCATACTAGATTATTATGGGATTTCCTTTAAGCAGTGTGTGAAGCTTTCAAAATCTTTGTTTTTTAAAGTTTTTTTCCCCTGTATTCTAAATGACAGATTATTTTATCAAAATGAACAGTATACAGTACAAAATTTGCTGAAGGGGATGTTTTAAACAAGTAGTAACCTAAATATTATGCAGAACATATTACTTCAGCTGAAGTATTTGTATCAGTGGAGGCCGAGTGTGAGGTGAAAGACTCCCCTTGCCACATCATATATTTATATGATTTTAGGATTTCTTTTTCCACAAAATGTGTTGCTCACTGTTCAATAAAAAGTATATTTTAATATATATATATATATATATATATATTATTTATTTATTTTTTTATTTTTTTTGCAGTCATACAATATAGGAGTAGTGAAAATAACATTCCTTAAGCTATGCCATTTGCCCCGTTCTACCTTATATTAAATGTGCGTTTGTTTTCTCAATATTTTTGTTGCCATGTTTTATACAAGCCTATTTAAGCGGGTTTTTTGCTACTTGGCTTAAAAAAACAGATAGTTCGCCCAAAAATCTGTGATCATTAACTCTCCCTCCTGTTGTTCTAAACTAGAATGAGTTCCTTTGTTCTGCAGAACACAAATGAAGATATTTGAAGAATGTGTAAAGTGTTTTTGTTCATATAATGAAAGTCTTCTAAAGCAGCTACTATAAAATTAGTAGCAGCTCTCTCATGGGTCTGTATTTTCACATTCCTCCAATGTTTCTTCATCACTCTTACATGTAAACAGCATAAAGCAGCCCACTTATAGCTGTGCAAATACATCTACTGACTAAATGTGCCAGTCGAACTGCCGTTGAGATGAATGGGAATGCTAATGGATAGCTCTCTCTAAGTATATTAGAACGGCTTGACACAGACCCAGACAGTGAAAGCTGTGGCAAAGACACATATTGTTGAAACAAGTGAATGTGTGAATGTGACCCCAGTGAATGTGTGCCCTGTAGGTCTGCTGAACAGAGGAGCTACAGCAGTGTGATGTGTCTTTTGCTTCATGTAAAGAGAGCACTGATTGCTTTCAGTGGCCCCTCTGGCCTTCAGCGAGTCTATTTCCATTATCCCAGCAATCGATTCGCTGCAGCTCCACCATCTCTCTGCCCTTTACTGCAAACTTTACCCTCTCTCTTTCTCTCTCTCTCTCTCTCTCTCTGAATCACAGAGTTACTCATCTGTTACTCAAACACATCTGTGTTTTCTTTCTCTTTTTCCATCTCAGATGTTGCCAGGGCGATTGAGCTGCTGGAAAAATTGCAGGAGTCAGGTGACGTCCCGGGTCACAAGCTGCAGTCCCTGAAGAAGGTTCTACAGAGCGAGTTCTGCACAGCCATTAGAGAGGTGAGACCTACTTTATATATTGCTGTCACCTCTAAAGTTTAGCACCATAAAGATATCCTCATATATCACAGGAATAGTTTGTCCAAAAATGAAAACTCTGTCATTGTTAACTTACATCTTACTCATTATTTTCTGTGGAATATAAAAAAATATATTTAGCAAAATGTTCAGGCTGATGTCAATGGTTTTCTTATGTTTATAAAAAAATATCCAAGTCTTCTGAAGCCAAAACTTAAGGTACAGACTGAAATTTGGAATACCTTTTTCTGATTGGACAATTGTGGAAATCTATGGGCTCTTTCTGCTCACATACTGAAACTTCAACTGAAACATTAAAGGGGTGTTTCACTGGTTTTTTTCTAGGCTTGATTGTGTTTATGGGGTGCAGTCTAACATGTGTTAATGCTTCTTTTGAAAAAAAAAAACCGCATTATTTTTCACATAATTTACCTTTATTCCACACCGCTCTGTCCATTCTCTGAGAAACGGGCTGATCTTTTCCTGTTTTTATGAAGCCCCGCCCTCAGAAATAGGCAATGGGCTCTGATTGGTTAGCTAGCCCAGTGTGTTGTGATTGGCTAAACCGCCTCTAGTGCGCGTCTAAAAGTCCTGCCCCTCACCTCAGCGGCATGTGCTCCGGTTGTATTGTAAACAACGACGTCGTTAATATCGCTTATCAGTTTGAGCCTGACTGAGAAGCAGAGGATATTATTGAAGAAGATCATGCAGAACCTGTGCAAGCATGGCTTTTAATGGTACACTCTAAAAAAAATTTCAGTAAAAAAACTGAAAAAGTACTGGCAGCTCATTACCCGAACTTTGTACCGTAATTAAAAAACAAAAATTTTCCATTAATTGAAGGTCTGCCCACAGTAAAAAAAACAGGACTTTTTCTGTTTTAACGGTGCATCTTTATATATATATATGGGGGAAAAAATCTTATAAAGGAAAAAAATTCAGCAAAATATATTAATTGAACATGGTTTATTTTTACTTCATGTAAACATTCTTAAAAATGCATTCAATGGCTTTTGTTTGCCTTAAATTGGTTAGTACAAAGCGATTTCATCAATCAATTACTCAATTAAATAAATTAATTTAACAATGTGTCAAACACTGAAAAATGCCTGTATTGTGGAAGACAATTTAGCTTTAAACAGTAACAGACAGAATTAGAAAAAGAAAACATGAGCACTCGTACAATACTAGTGTTGCACCAAACAGTGGTCACAAAATTTTAACTTTACAAACTGTGAAACAGTCAAGATTCAAAACATGTTTTCCTATAAGAGAACACAATATTGTTTATAGGGATAGTTCACACAAAAATGTGAATTCTGTCATCAATTACTCATCCTCATACCATTCCAAACCCATAAGACTTTCATTCATCTTCAGAACACAAATGAAGAGTATTTTTAATGAAATCTGTGTGCTTTCTGTCCCTCTATTGATAGCCTATACGCAACTACCACTTTCAAGGTTCAGAAAGGTATAAAGACATCAATAAAATATGTGACTCCAGTGGCCTAACATCAGTTTTAAGAAGTGATGCAAATTATTTGTGTGGAAGAAAAAACAAAACAAATTATGTATTTTTTCTCACAATATGAAGACCTCAGACACATTCACAATGCGCACATGTTGAGTTGACATGAGAGCAGATGTTCTGACAATACAACCCATCCCAGAAGCCTTGCACTTGTTACAAGCAGAGGAAAAGGGACACCGTATGCAAGCCGTCCATGTTTAACGCTTCTCATAGCTATGTGAAAATAAGTGTATAATTGGAACAGTGAGCTGAAAGAGAGAGAGAGAGATGCAGAGCGTGTGCAGAGCAGGGGGATGCGAGGAACAGTATTGAGAGCTGCTGCTTTTGAACATTGATTTTGAAACTTGTGAATCCATTAGAATCGTTAGAAGACAGAATCGCGATTCATATATGAATAGATTTTTACGTGCACCTCTAGTTTTCTCTTCCTCTTCTCTAAAGCAGCGCAGCATGGCCTCGACCCCTTTGCTGCCTTTTCCCGAGGGTGGGGTTTATCTGGGTTTGTGATGTCACGAACCCGGGAAGTAACTCGTTGTAGTCTCTACCTGCCGTTTTTGTAGGCATTAAACTGCCAGAATTTTAAAAGACGATATCTCTGTTTGCATTGAACTTTCAGCTTCGTAACTTTTCAGATATTGTTTATGCTCAAACAGCAACATTACACACTAACTAACGTTAAAAAAGTGAAATCGCAATCAACCACCCCTTTAACTTTAAAATTAATAAATTGTGTATGTGTGTGTGGATATGTCAAAGTTGTTACTCTTAAAAATAAATAAAACTATTAAAAAAAAAATAATTAATTGAAATAAAGTTGAATAGCTGAATAAAACTGGAAAAAAATTAAAACTGAAATGTAAAAAACTGAAAACTAAAATGTAAAAAAACAATTGTTTAAATACAATAAATTTAAGTTTTAGTTGAAAGTCGCTTTGGATAAAAGCGTCTGCTAAATGAAAAAATGTTTATGTAAATGTAATCTGAATTACTAAAACTGAAATAAAATTAAAATAAATCTAAACAGAAGTATTAAAAAACTAATATATTAAAAAAAACTAAAAAGAAAAAAAAAAACTGAAAACTGAAAATATAAACATAAAAACTTAAAATAATAATAAATAATAATAGTATAATATAAATAATGCAAAATAAAAAATATAAATAACACACTAACACAAACAAACACACATATTATACAATATAGTATATTCACACCCACAGCATATTAATTAGCTACAAAAAACTTAAATAATGTATATTGTTTTTATCCTTAATATATATTTTAATATATATTTTGTACTTAATATATATAATAATAATGCTACATAATTTTATTATAAATAAATTGGATTATTTAATTACACCATTTGCAATGATTCATGGGATAAGTAGTTCATTCTATTTTAAAGTATTTAAGTATTGACTTTCCTTTTTTCTGCTTTTCATAATTTCTTCACATCAGTTGTTGTAATGTTGTGATTCTTGAATCTAATTAGTTTGCTTCATTGTGCTTAGAACTCTTAAAAACTGCCTATGGAGAAAATGAATGGGGAAGTCCTTCCAGAATCAAGGACAGTAAAAAAAAGCAGGCAGCCACTTTTGCATTTTGTTGCAGATGAAGCATCTGAGCATCAGAGGCTGTGGTAGATATAGACCGAGGATCATCAATTATGGGATGGAATCTCAGCGTCATCTGAGTCTGACGGTCGTGACAGACGTGCGTTGAGGGTGCGATGACAGGAGCGTGTCTGTCAGGCAGAGATAGTGGCGACTGGTGCCTATTTTACTCTGCTTTTCCCGTAAACTTGCAGAAATGCAATTAGTCAGAGAATGAGGTTGACTTGGGCCACTGCGGTTTTAAGTGCAGCACCAGGGCAACATCCTCACCACTTTAAGATGTCTCCTTCATTCATTTCCATGCTCAAACACCGGAACCGTACTAGTAAACAACTACAAAACAACTACTTTATCTCACAGACAGACACATTTTTGTACTATGGCCTGAGCAGGGTACACTTTTATCCTGGGAGAAATGCCTTTTCCCATTTAGTAGTGCATGTGTGAGCTGTATAACACAGGGCAAGAAAAGAAGCCCATTATGTTAATTCATTTGTTTATTTAATTCATTATTACAAGGATGATTATATGCTGCCTTTTAGTATGACACCACAGCTGTGCTTTCTGTCACTAGTGAGCTGAGCACATATAATCATGAGCTTGTTTATTTTGAAACTATGGGATGGGAGGTTCGTGACCAGCTAAACAACAAATGAAAAACAATGAAAAATATACTCACAAAACAAATATTTAGGACATCAATTTTATTATTATTATTTTGTTTTTTTACACTACTGTCAATGTCAGGTGAATTGAGAAAATAATATTTGATTTTGCATTTTTGTTTTAAGAATAACACAAGTGAAAAACCACAGTGTAGGCCCATTCACACAAAGAGTGATAACTATAAAGGTAACAACAATAACTATATTAGTGTTGACACTCAGAGATGACCACATTATGTTTATTATAAGTGTGTGTCTACTGCTTTTAAATGCTGAAACTCTTTAAAGTCGGGGGATTCTGATTGGCTGTCAATGTTTTTATCGTTCATCAGCTGGAAAAAAAAAAGTCTGAAAGTGATTCAAATGTTATTCTTCCTCTATGTCATAATTGTTATAGTTGTGGTGTGGACTTCACTATTCTCACAGAATAAGAATTATTATTAAAACTTTATAGTTTTAGTTATTGTCCTGTGAACAGGTCTTTAGTTTTGTTTTTATGTTCCCTCCTTTATGCTTCCTGTCCATTATCTTTTACAAAATAAAGGAAAAAACATAAAATATTACATTTTATTATATTCATATCATGACCTCACAGTTCAGAATCAGTTGGATTCATTATTTGTTTTCATGTGTCATTTAGGGGTGGTAAATATTGCAAAGGCTTAGGAATGGACAATATTGCCCACGTACACTCTAAAAAATGCTGGGTTAAATATATCCAGCGCTGGGTTAAAAAGGGACAAACCTAGCTATTGGGACAAACCGCTGGGTCAAAACAACCCAATAGCTGGGTTTGTTCCTTTTTAACCCAGCACTGGGTTCTATTTAACCCAGCATTCTTTAGAGTGTAGCAAGTAGGCTCTATGGCCCCCCCGAAAAGCAGTCAGAAATTGTGCTGCGTATCTCATACCTACTTGCACGTATAAATATGAAACTTGGTATACATATAGATCTCACTGAGCCGGACAACTTTTGTACTGCATGTCGTAAGCTCCGCCCAACATGAAGTTGGCTATTCAGGGTTTTGTAAAAATGCATAAAAAAGGGTGTGCATCAAACATTTTAATACTCCTCCTAGGGTTTAATCCGATCACCAAACTTTCTCCTGTCTGTTTCCATTCATTAGAACAGCGGTCAACAGACTCGGTCCTGGACAGCCGATGTCC